TATGTCCTGACCTTTCTGACTAGGGAGAGGGGAAATGTTCCTTGCTAGGTTACCTTATTTTCAACATATCTTGCTTCTTCAGGTTTGGCCCTAGAATGTATGGGGGAAGAAGGATTTGGGAAGGAATGAAGGTTTGGGGCTGTGAAAAGGGAGAAACCATGAAGACTAACCCTAAGGAAAATAATTAGAGGGGGCTAAGGAAGAGACCAGCCATGAGCTGAGAGTCACTTTCCCCCTTTTCAATATCTCCTGTGCCCCTGTATCTTTACCTCTCCATACTCCTATTCCTTCCTCAGGCCAAGCTGGGAAACAGCTCTGTAAGCCCCAATGTGGGTCACCTAGTGCTGAAATACCTATGTCCAGCTGTTCAGGCTGTGCTAGGCGATGGGCTCAAGGCCTTCGTGCTGGATGTCATCATTGGGCAGCGCAAAAATATGCCCTGGAGTGTGGTCGAAGCTTCCACGCAACTTGGTATGGGGTGGGAGTGGGGGAGGAAAGGAAATTGAGGGAGAAATTGAGAGGAGGGGAAAGAGAGAAAGGTTGGGAGAGGCACAGGAAGATTATTAGAAATGGGAAGACTTGGGAGGCACGTGCTAAATCCAGTACTTTTGAGACCAGACACCTCCTTCCCCTGGATTCTCCTTAGGCCCATCTACCAAGGTTCTTCATGGCCTCTACAACAAGGTCAGCCAGTTCCCAGAGCTCACCAGTCATTCTATGCGCTTCAATGCCTTCATTCTTGGCCTTCTCAAGTGAGTACATGATGACATACACTTGAGTTTATGAACCCAGCCCATCCCACCCCTGCAACCCTACCACTGAATATAAACAGAAAATTTCTGGACAGAAGCACAAGGCACCAGTCCCACAATTGGTCCCATACTCATTGCCAGGGTTCTATGTTGCAGCCTCTCTCTGGCATACTAGCCCTCTTTCCCTCATACACACATGCCTTCCCTAATAAATATCCATGGAAATCTCTTCAGTTTACAAAACCAGCTCAAATGTTTAAACAGGAATATTACTAAGAAACAAAAGCAAGACAACAAAAGTCCAAAAAGGGAGTTAAAAGTAGCACTATCTAGATAAAGCTAAATAATATAAACTAGCCATAGGTTGTATCCTCAATCCCACCCAGAACCAGTCGGGTCTTTTCCCCAGATATAGGCCCTTAAGCTATCACTTTCTGGCCCTAGACTGCAAGTTCTCCTGATCTGTAGTTGTGCTGCCCCTTGGGTCTTGTCCTTATCTCTTGACCTAGAAAGAATAAAGATCCCTCCTGTGGCTTCAGGTCACCCCACAATGCTTTTGTGTTTAGTTTCTTCACCCCCTCATGGAGATCTCTGTGGCTCTTCCTAATCCTTAAAAGTCCTATACTGTCCCCCGGAGCTTTATCTGTCCTATTTAGTTTGCACATATATTTCGTTCACTAGCCAGATGTTAAGGTTAGTTCTGCCCTCATTAAAGCTTAGTTTCACTTGTTTCCATGCTTGTACTGGGCTCTGGATCACAAGTTGCCATATGGACCATTGGCAGAAGTCATGTTGATTCCTCATTCATTTATTCACATGAACATGCATTGTGCACCATCCAGAAAAAGACTGTCCTTTTACTGTTTGATAGTTCTGCCCTTCTCCCATTCAGCCGCTAAGTTTTTAATTAATTCTGAGCTCAAGAAATAATCAAGCCCACCCTCCTGTTATAGCTACTCCGTGAGGTTACCAGCTCTTCCTACTATGTTTGTGACTGAATGACTCATGATCCAGGTGCCCCTCAGCCCCCACAATCCACCAGTGTTCTTCCAAGACATCACAAGTTTACAATACTTTCAGCATGGTCCTATCAAACTCCGTGTATCTATCCCACACATACCCTCTGTACAACTACAAAGTGTAGGGTCCTAGCTCAAAGCTCAGACCTCTGCTCTCATCTCCCTTCAGCATTCGTTCCCTGGAGTTCTGGTTCAATCATCTCTACAACCATGAAGGTAACATCACCACCACCACCACCCCCCAAAACATGCCCTCCAACCCCAAACTTTGACCTAACCTTATAGATTTCCTAAACTCTGCACCACAACCTTTTTTTAGAGGCTGGGCATAATGAGGCACCTCCTCCCCTTCCCTGTGTTTATCACCAAGCAGCCCTAAGCAGAGAATTGTTCCATGTTCTCCAGCCCCAGCCCGGGTGGGAAAGAAACAGCCCAACACTCTAAGCTGTAACTCTCCTGAACTGCTGCTGGCCTGTCCTAACACACAACCAATTAGGGAATAAGAAAGGAACCCAAGGCCTTGGGGGAAAGTTGTTCTCAAAAGCCTCCTCTTCATACCTATACCCCACCCCTACCCTGTTAACCCTTGTCTATCTCTGGGTGGGTCACCTGCCCTTCCCACTTCCTTGCAGATATCATTCAAGCCCATTACCAGCCATGGGGTTTCCTGAGTGCAGCTCACACTGTGTGCCCAGGACTGTTTGAAGAGCTGCTGCTACTGCTGCAGCCTCTGGCACTGCTGCCCTTCAACTTGGACCTGCTGTTCCAACATCGGCTCCTCCAGAATGGCCGGCAGCAGCAACAGCAGAAGGAGCTGCTCCGAGTGTCCCAAGGACTGCTTCTCTCAGCCCACTCCACTCTGCAGCTGGCACGCTCCCGGGAACAGGAGGGCCATGGGGGCACAGATGGGGCAGCCCCGGGGGAGCGGGTGAAAGGGGTGGGTGCCCCAGCAGGAGGTGAAGAGGAAGACAAGGCGGTGGCAGCTGTAGCAGAGGTACAAGCAGGCACAGGACAGGGTAGGCGGGCACGAAGTGGGCAGGCTGGCTGGTGGTACCAGCTCATGCAGAGCTCCCAAGTCTACATCGACGGCTCTGGGGAGGGCTCCAGATTCCCCCGGAGTGGTGAGAAGAAGAAGGGAGCAGGGGGCTCCCAGGCCCCACCCCCCCGAGAAGGTGTGGTAGAAGGGGCTGAAGCCTGTCCTCCTGCTGAGGAAGCCCCAAGCCGAGACAGGGGCTGGCCTTTCTGGATGGGGAGCCCTCCAGACTCTGTGCTAGCTGAGCTGAGGCGAAGCCGGGAGAGGGAAGGACCTGTAGCCCCCCAGGGAGGCAGTGAGGAGGGGACCCAGGAGGCCACTACCGGAGGTATCAAGTGGGGACACCTTTTTGGCTCCCGGAAGACCCAGCGAGAGGCTCGGCCACTCAATAGGTGAGAGAAGTCACAGGATACAAGGGGAAGGGATAGGGCAAGAAAAAGGGTAGAGTTGGGGTTGAGGGCACCTTGGGTATAGTCAGAGTCCTAATGCCTCCAAAGATATTATTGCTTGGGCATAAAGTTGGTCAGTGATGGAGAGATACTGGTGCAAAAACAAAGGGCAGTCCTTGGGGGAGGACCTAAGGCCCTATCTGTTGTCTTTTCCAATCCTCTCCCCTTCACGCTCCCACAGGCTGCCCTCAGACTGGCTAAGCCTAGACAAGTCAGTGTTCCAGCTGGTGGCACAAACAATGGGCGCCCGCCGAGAGTCAGAGTCCAGGGAAGACACTGAAGAACCACCCGCCCTGGACCTGCCCCCAAACTTGCCCTGGTGAGCATGGAAGGAGGTGGGAGTGGGGATGGATACAGGGCCATTTGGCCACAGTGGATTTGACTTCTATTTCTTTCTCTTCCCAGCGAAGTGCAAGCACTCTGCCACCACTTGGCCACAGGGCCTGGGCAACTGAGCTTCTGCAAGGGGGACATCCTGCAGGTGTTGGGACCAGCTGGGGGTGATTGGCTTAGGTGTGGCAGAGGCTCTGACACTGGCCTGGTGCCCCTAGCCTATGTGACACCAACCCCTACCCCAACCCCTACCCCCAGGGGCACCCAAGATTGAGGCCCTTGTGCATGCTGGAGCCCACCAGGCACCTTCACTTTCCCTAGGGACTCAGAGCCCAGGATGGGGCACAGACTTGGCTCCCCCAACCCCCAAGATCCATTAGCCTGAAGGGCCATGTCTGTGTACCCATGCCTGCCCTCCCCATATGCTCTGTATTCATTAATCCCTCATAATCTGTCCCAATGACCCTGGCCCAGACCACCCACCCCCAGGGAAGAAAGAGGACTAAGTCCTGGGATGCCAGGACTTCTTCAACTCCTGCCCCCATCTTCTGGCTGGAAGATGCCCAGCTGTGAAGCTAGGGTACAAAGAGAGGGTTTGTAGAGGGGCCCAGGGGGCACTCTGGGCTGGTCAGTGCTGTGGAGAGGGGGGAGTAACAGTATTGGGGCTGGCCCCTCCCAGGCCCCCCCCCCCCAGCTGTAAATAGGCTGCTGCCAACACCCTGGCCATATGGGGGAGGGCCCAGGCCAATGTTTATTTATTTATTTATTATGCATATTAATAAAAAAGGTGCTCAGCCTCTGTCCCTGCTCCTCCCCCATCCTCAGACATCTCTCCCCACCCCATTCAGTATGCCTGGTGTTGGGGAAAGTAGGATTGGAGCTGCTTCTGGAAGTTTCTGAGGCCCAGAGCCTCATGGGTGAGAGTCCCATAGGTGTGACCAAACTGGAACTTACAGCCTGTGAAGCCAAGGGAGGCTGTCATGCAGAGCAGACACAAAACAAAGACAGTGGTGTTGGGGGTATCTGGTGTGTGCCTTGGAGGCATTGTTTCTTTCAGCCAGGCTCTACGTAGTACCTCTCCATTCCCAAACACCCCCAGACTGTCCTTGCCAACAGAGAAAACTCTTAAGAACCTCTCTCACAGCAGTCACTAACTTGGACCTTAGGTAAATCCTCTTTTGGTGCCTCAGATTGGACTAGATGATTGCCAACATCATACAGTTTGTAACTTCATGTGGAGCTGATGTTCCATCATCAGCTCCATCCATCATCATCACCACCCCATCTGGTATTCTATAGCAGCCCCAACCTGTTTTAACCCAGGCTTCTCAAACCTTTATCGTCCTGTCCCTCTAGTTCCTCAAAACTTTCTACTCCCCCCCGATCTCATTCAAACTTCTACCCCAGGTCTCACCTGGCACATTACCCCTGTAGCAGGGCACCACATTCTGTAAGTAGGTCCTGGAAAGGCTGGGAAGAAGCTTATGGTCCCTCTGGCCCCTGGCCCCTGGGCACATCTGCCCAAATTCCTGCAGAGCCTGATTGGTGAGGATAGGGAAACTAGAGCCAAAGTGGAAACGGGCTCGGGGCACATATCCAGTAAACCCTGTGAGGAAAGAAACATCCAGATTCTAAGAGGAGGGCTCCCCTCTCTTCATCCCTCTGCAGTGTTCTCCATTCCTCCACCCACCCACCCACCATACCATCATTCACCTGAGATGAAGAACTTATTAGGATCTTTGTCATCCATGGAATAGGGGGATGCCTAAAGGGACATCAAAGGAAATTGGGGAGAGAATTAGAGAATCTGGCCCATCACACACACACACACACACACCCTCCCTTAGGTTCTAAAGGGACAAAGACCCTTGGGGCAGCTTCCCCCTAAAAGGGTAAAAGCCCCTCTCCCTCACCCACTGCCCTTGTCAATCTCTCCCATCCTTTTGGTCGTAGCCCCTCACTTTTAGTTTTTGCTCTGGCTCCAGTTCCAGCTTCAGATGTTTTTCTGCCTGAGACTTCTGCTCATCCTGTGTCTTACACTCCAATTCCTTTCTCTCAGCCTCTGGCAGCTCTTTATACCCTGTACCTAGATGGCTAGTGAAGTCCCTCAGAGCTTCAGCCCAGACCTGAGTGCATCTCTTGGCAAAGATGTGCTGAGACCGGGGCACAAAGCCTGGAAGGCCATATTGAAGAAGATGATTAGGGAGTCCTATCTGCAAGGAAAAGGAAGTGAATGCCCTTTCAAGGCAGTGAGGAAAATAAGAGCTAAATATTGAGGGCATGTGGCTGGGGCTGCCATGTGCCCTGGGGCTTGGAATGAGGGGGAATGAGTATTATTCATGTGTCATTTTCCCCCAGTGGGTATCTGAATAGCAAATATACCTATTTGAGATGGCCATACCTGTGTACCCTGGGATCATGTTGGACTTAATCCTCTCATGTCCATGCCAGGAATGCTTGTCTGTCCGAGGAGGTCCAGGAGTTTTGATCGGGGGCAGAAGTATGCGGTGGGCAGGGGGCCAGGCTAGGCCAGAGGGACCAGACAGCAGCAGCTGTCCAGTCAGTTGTCCATAGGTCTTACCCAGGCCGAACCCAAGTTGTGGGCAATGTCCAGTATACCTATGGTATAGGGTTCATCCACTCATCATCCCCATATTTCCCACACCACCGTATACTATTGTGGCAAACATGCTTTCCTGATGATCCATACATATGTCTGATATCACCATACCCTACTACACCACCCCCTCCATGTAAGCAGAAGAAACCAATTCACCAGGCCTCAACTGTCCCTTATCATCCAAGGGACAGGTGAGTGTATTGTGTATTTTCATTTTTTGTTTTCAGTCCAAGGAAGCCAGGAGGACAAAACAGGCTACCCATCTCAAAGCTAAGGGGCCCCTGGCTCAGTGGCTATGTTCTCCAACTGTTACCAAGGAGATGACAACATGCTACTAGGGATGGGAGTCAGGAGATTGCTATTACAATTTCCCTGCCCCACTGTCCCTGTGCTCCCCCAATAGCAGCTCCAGCCCTGGGTCCTTCCACCTCAGTTTGTCTTCTAGGCCTGATATCACTCATTTAACCATTTCCACCACCACCACCACCCCCCACCAACACTCCTAGCTCCCTACTCAATCCCCCTACCACCTTAGGTAGAGGAGTACTTACAGTGGAGAAACCTTACCCTGGGATGTAATAAGGACCTCGAGGTGGTAGCCCTGGGGGGAAGGCAGAGCTGGCCATGGCCCTGCACTAGAAAAGGGCTCACTTCTCAATCAGGCTCCACCCTGTGTATGCCTGTTGTGTCCAGGGCTGCAGGGCAGGGCTAGGGGGAGTTGATGGAGCAAGGGGAGGGACTTAGAAGAAAAGGACAGGTTGCCTTAGAGTCAGAGACAAACAGATTCCTGTAAAGCAGTGCTATTTGCTATAGTACATCTGCCACGTGTAGCCCGGGGTAAATCAAACCCTGACGCAGATGCAGCCTTATTTGAGAGGATACGATGATGTAGCAGGAATGAGCATTGTCCTTGCAATCAGAAAACCTTAGTTCAATCTCTGAGCCTCAGTTTTCTCTTTAAAATGAGGATAGTACTTCTTACACCACCTACCTCACAGGGTAGGTGAGGAAAGTGCTTCAGATACTTTGAGAATGAATGCATTATCAGGGAGAACACAGAAAATTCAAAAAATTTCACCCTTCTATTCCCCTTCTCAGAGTTAACTGAGTTAGAGGGCATCTTTCACAAGAGGGAGAGAGAATAGGATCCTATCCCTGCCCTGAGCAGATTTTATCTACACCCCTTCTAGAGCCCTTGGTCCAAGGAGGATAACGTAGTTTCTGTCTGTAGAGAGCCCCTGATCTGGTGGTGATGGGGCACACAGGAAAGCACTCTGATTCAGTGTGTAGTAAAGATAAAGCAATTGTGAAGCAAAAGAAGGAAAAGTAGAAAAAGAGACAGGAAGGTTGGGCTGGGGAGCATTGAATGACTACTAAAAGGGGTAATTTTTTTAATTATGCATGATTCAACAAGAGCTTAGTGGGGCATTATATAACCAAATCTGAGCTAATCCACTGCAGGGGATTCAGTTATGACACTGTCCCTGGTCCTCAAAAAGTTTACACTCTCCTAGACACAAGCTATGAGCCCATAGAACATTTGTACAACTTTGTATTGGCACTAAATGCCAAAATTAGTGGTATATAGTGCAGTAGGAGTCCAGAAGAGAAGAAAGCACTGAGTAAGGATTAAGGTGGGGCAGACTAGATGGCACAGTGGATAAAGCTCCAGGCCTGGAGTCAAGAAGACTAACCTTCCTGAGTTCAAATCAGGCTTCAGATATTTAGTACCTGTGTGTCCCTGGGCAAGTCACTTAACCCTGTCTGTACTCAGTGCCTCAATAGTAAAATGAGCTGTAGAAGTATGGCAAACCACTTAAGTATTTTTGCCAAGAAAACCCCAAATGAGAGCACAAAAAGTCAGACACAACTGAAAAATGACTAACAAGGATTAAGGTAAAGAAGTTTGGTCTTTTCAGATTCAGATTCTGGGAGAAGAGACTAGGAACTCATGACTAAGATGGAGAAGCACCTGGATTTTCCTTGGTCAGACCATTTTGGAGTATTGAGTTCAGTTCTGAGAGCCACAGTTTAAGGACACTGAGGAGCATCTGAGGGCAACTAGGATGGTGAAAAACCTTTAATCCATGTCATGTGAGAATCAGCTAAAGGAACCAGGGATGTTTAACCTAGAAAAGACGACTGATGGAGGACATGATAGCTGTGTCTGAGTTCAGGTATTTGAAGGACTGCCACGTAGAAATTACACTTAATCTGCCCCAGAAGGCAGAATCAGGAACAATGGTTGCAAGTCACAGAAAGGCAAATTTTGGCTTAATGTCGGGGGAAACTTCTTAACAATTAGAGCTATCTGAAGGCAGAATGGGCTGCCTCAGGACGTAATGAGTTCCCTTTTAATGAAGGTTTCCAAGCAGAGGCTAGATAGCTACTTGTTGAATATGACATTCTAGAGATTTCTTGTGTGTGTGGGTTAGATCAGATGACTGCTGAGGTTCCCTTGGCAGCTCTGAAATTGTGTGAGTGACAACTGCAGGTTCTTTATATTTGGAGAATGTTTTATATGACTGACACCTGGGGCACTGCCCAAGTCAGCTGATACTCTGACTTCTCTCTAAGCCTTTTATCAAGTGCCACCTCGAGGTGGCACTCTCCTTGAGTTACCAAATCAGTGGATTCATTTGAGTTTGTCTGGCACATGTGGGTGAGCCTCTTTTGCCACCAAGGCACGCAGTTTAAAGCATTGAGGCAAGCAAAAACTCCTGGTCAGGATTCAGTATTGGTCTAGGGAATTAAATATTTATCAAAATAATTTAAAAATAGAAAATCTCTAGTTCTGTTCCAACCCTATATCTGGCCTTTCAGAATGTCAAACAGCATTCACAGAATACTGGCAATCAACATACCACAGGCACACATACTCAGGGAAATTGCAAGAATTGTTATGTCCTCCCACATGGAGCCCTTCAAACTCCTCCAGATTAGCTTCATCCTGCACCTGTACATTGTGGAAAGGATTAAAGGAGGGGTTGTATTCTGGGACTCCAAGATCAGGACATCTAGAGTTAGATTTGGATCCCTACCTCTGTAAGTTATCTTCTGGGCAACCTTGAACAAGTACATCACTTAACCTCTGTGGACTTCAGTTTGTTTATAAGACAAGGGGGTTGAAAATTCAATGACCTCTAATGTCACATCTAAGTCTATGTTCCTAAGTTATCTCCTCTCCATCTCTCCCACCAATGGGATTTTCAGTAGGTGCCAGTCCCCAGTACTCTGAATCTAACTTGAATGATCTAAGCACTGCAATCTGAGTCTCAAGGCTCTGTGAAGCCTTTCTATGAGCTGACCGTTCTATGTGGTCAGCTCCCTATGATCGTGACCACCAGAAGGCAGTCTCTGGACACATTGGCTCAAGTGCTTCAGCCCTGTAATTCCCATTGCAACCCAGGAATCCAGCTCCCAAAAGTGGTCTGCTCTTGCCCATGTAGTGGCAGGCAGGCCAGGAGCCTCTGTCCAAATGCAGAAGTTCTCTGCTCCCCAGCTTCTGCATGGCAGATTTTTCTCAAACACAAAAAGGAAGAAAGAGGAAAAGTCCTATTCTGAAGCCAATGTCTAGATCTTATTTCTGTCCTAAACATTTCTTCCTGTTCTTAGGACATAGGCTTTCTGAAGCAGTATCACCCTCCCTGTGAGTTCAAACACCCCAAAACTTAGAAGGAGAAAGGAATGGCAATCATCCACAATATTCTACCAGTCATAGAATCATTGGTGTAGAGCTAGAAGAGGTGGCCTTAGAGGCAAGCTAGTCCAAACCCTCCCCCCCATTTTATAGATGAGAATACCTAGAAAAGTTAAATATCTTGCCCACAGTCACACAGATAGTATCAGAAACTTAAGAGAGGGTAAATGATTGATTTATCTTTCTCTGTTACCAGATTATCATCATCTTGGACCCTAAGATAAATAATAAATCAGAATAGATAAGGGAACTAGACACAGGTTATACTCAATTCCATACAGAGGGAGGGTCATCCTTATTTACAAGTGGATTAATTAAATGCATCTCTCCTTGTTGTAATATAAAAGATATGGAAATCTCCCTTAACCAGGCAACAAAGTGCTTTAGATTCTACCATTAATTTCTTTGGAGGGCATACATATCATTGGGAAGGATATTTGTTGAGTGTTGGGAAGAAAAGATTTTAAAAGATTCAGAGAAAGGATAAGTAAGCCCCAATGGCCTAAAAATCTAAGAGGGATATTATCAATACACAAATTATTCCAATAAAAGAGAAAGAGGGGACACTGTCTAAAAGAAACCAATGTGGAAACAGGAGTTCCACTGACAAATTCTGATCTTAACAAGACAAGTGGAGAAATAAGTCCCCCTATACTGTGCCCTGGTAATAGCACTGTGTTCAGTTCTGGAAACTGTGTTTTGGGAAAAAATATTGACAGGCTAGACTATGTCCAAAAGAGGGTGTCCTGGATTGATGAAGGGTCCTGAGAACATGGTTATTAGGCCTTGCTTGAAAGAGCTAGAGTTGTTTACTTTAGAGACAAGAAGACTTGTGGGAATATAATGTCTCAGTTATTTGAAGGGCTGTCACATAGAAGAGGTTTTAGACTTGTTCTGAGTGGCCCAGAGGGCAGAACTAGCAAAAAAGCTTGACATAAAGAAAAACTAACCCATGAGCTATCCAAAAGTTGAATGAACTACCCCTAGTATTCAGTAAGTTCTATCTCACTGAACATTTTCAAGTGGAAGGTCAATAATCAAGTCAACAAGTCATATCAAGAATTTATTAAGCATTTACCATAAAGGGTTACTGTGCTAAGAATTGGGGACACAAAGGAGAAAAAAGGCACTGTCCTCAAAAGAACTTACATTTCAATGGGGGAAACAAGTTGTAAATAACCAGGTAATCTGAGAAGGCAGCCCAGGGGATCAGGAAAGGCCTCCCATAGAGGATAGAACTCTGAGGTTTGAAGGAAGTCAGGGAAACCAAGAAGCAGAGGTGAAAGGTCAAGAGTGTTCCAGACATGAAGAATCACCAGTGAAAAGGTACAGAGCTGGGAAATGGAGTATCATGTATGAGAAACTGCAAGTAGGCCAGTATTGCTGAGTCATAGAGTGTATGGAGCACAGTGAAATAGAAGAATTGAAAGTAGGAAGGGGCCCAAGTTGTGAAGAGATTTAAATTCCAAATAGAAGAGTTTCTGTTTGATCCTGGAAGCAATAAGGAGCCCCTGGAGTTTACCAGGTGACATGGTCAGACCTATAATTCAGAAAAAAATTATCATGGCTGCTGAGTGGAGGTGGGAAGACACTTGAGAGAGAACAACCAGAACTGGCTGTTGTAGTACACCAGGAATGAGATGATGAGAACTTGAACGAGGATCAAGGTTATGTGACTGGAGAGAAGAGGATGTTTATGAGTTGTTGCAAAGGTACAAACAACAATGGATTGTAGAGTGAGAGAGTGGAACTGAGTATAACACCAAGGTTACAAAGCACAACTGAGTGAATAAAAAGATGGTGGTGCTTAGAAGAGGAAAAGGTTTTCTGGGGGAATGATAATGAGTTCTGTTTTGGAAATAATAATATGTATATAGTGCTTTAAGGTTTTCAAAGCACTTTACATACATCATCTTATTTGTTCCTCATGACAAACCTGTGAAGTAGGTATTATTATTATCCCCATTTTACAGATAATGAAACTAAACCTGAAAGAAGTTAAATGATTTGCCCAAGAGGACACTCAACTGTCTGGAACAGGATTCAAATTCAGGTCATCTTTACTGCAAGTGTCACACTGTACCATGCATTGCACCACCTAGCTGCCTGTACATTTTAAATCTGAGATGTCTCTGGGACATTTAGTTTGAGACATCCAAGGAGCAGGTGATGATGGGTGACTCCATATAGTTCAGAAGAGAGACTCGGGATGGATATATAGGTCTGGGAATCATTTGCATAGATATGATAACTGAACCCATGTGAGCCAAGAATATATGAAACCTATGGACCCCTTCTCAGAACAATGTATTTAATTGCATAAATTGAATACATAACATTACAAAAGAAACCATTATATTGAAATATAGTTATCAAAAAATTTTAAAACAAGTTTATGGATCCCAGGTTAAAAACTTTTGGCATAAAGCAAAAAGAGAAGATTGTCCAGGACAGAGCCTTTGGGAACTGACTCAAGGTGTAGGTGTGATGTGGATGAGGAATTAGCAATAAAGATATATCAGTGTCACGAAAACCCGAAGAGGTCAGAGCATGGAGGAGGAGAAAGTGATCAACAGTATGCAAGTCTTCAAAGAGGTCAAAAGAATAAGAACTGAGACAAGGTCATTAGCTTTAGCAATTAAGAGATCTTTGGTGAGAACAGTTTCACTGAAATGATGAAGTGCAGAGGGTTTTGAATTGAAAGAAAACAAAGTGAAGGCACTGATTGTAGATGGTTTTCTCAAGGAGTTTAGCCATGAAGGAGAAGAGAGACAGAATGATAGCTAGTGGGGATGATAGGATCAAGTGAGGGTTTTGGTTTTTCTGTTTTGTTTTGCTTTTTTAAAGATGAAGGAGACCTGAGCTATTTGTAGTAGGCATCAGGGTAGAAGCCCAGTAAATAGGGAGATATTAAAGATAAAAGAGTGAGGATGATAGTAGGGGAAATTTGCTGGAGAAGTTCGGAGGCAATGGGATCAAGGGTGCATG